CCTTCCAAAGTGGACAAACAAGTCATGCAACCTACGTGCACAAAAAAGAAAAAATATAAATATATATATATATATATGGTACCCAAAAAAGACTAAGGTCCAAAAGGCAACCAAAAATAGACATCTGGCTATTTTAGATCTAATGGAATTCAAACTTGAATCTAAATTTGAATCTGCAACGTGCTTCTAATTCAAATAGAAAATAATCCTAATTAAACTTTATATATTTGAAAGCAAATTGAGATTGCAAATTAGATCTAGTTCAATTCTAATTGAACTTGGATTCCAATTTAGTTCTAAGTCAATACTATTCTACTAACCAAGCTCTAGGTAAAACAACTCTAATTCAATTCTACCTTAGTTCTAAGTCAATTTCAATTTAAGTAATGGATTATTATTCAATGTTTTTTCTTTCAACTCTAATTTAATGCCAGTCTACTTCTAATTTAGTTCTATTTCATTCTATTTTGGGTTCAATTGTAACTTTGACTCTTCCAATTTACTAGTAATTAATTTCTAATGTTAATGCCTTTATACGGTTCAGATTCAATTGTTTTACACACCTAATTTTACACTATTGTCATTGCAAATTAGGTTTGGTGTCTATATGTCTAATTTCATCCTATTTTAATTCTAGTTCAATGCACATGGAATTCTAGTTCAGTTTTGGTGTCATTCTAGAGAGTGGGTGTTGCTGGTGGTGAATCTAATTCATTTAAGGAAGCACATGCTTCTATATTGGAAAAACTACATAAAATCTCTCATGTTCAAAGCAACACCACTTCTCTAGAAGTAAATGAGAATTTCACTCAAATTAAAACTAAATTGAAAAAAATACACTATTAGAATTAAATCTGACGTGTATAGCAATGAAGTTAGAATTAGCTTGAAATCAAATTAAAGTTAGGCTTGCATTGAACCCCAAGTAAATTAGAATCTATAGTCATAGACCTTTGAATCAAAATAGAATTTACAAATAATTGAAATAGACTCAAATTTTGAATTTGAATATACAAAGTAGAGTAGAGTTGAATAGATTGGAATTTAAGTTCAATTAGAATTAAACTGGAATTTAGTTATTTAGGGTTTGCAATTCTTTGCCTTCTGATTATGATGTACTTGCTCAACTGCATTCAATAAGAGCAGTACAATTCACACCCTAAAAACAAGACATATGGTTTTGCATGGAGTTGCAATGAATTAGATTACTCCATCCAAGAACTGTTTAGTAAACACATAACCTTATGGATTTGGACATTTTTGTTGTATATACATAGTTAAATGAACAAATATGCTTACCAACAGCACACCAGCACTCAGAAACATAGGTGTTTTTTTTGGGCGGGCTAGCATATATATATATATATATGTGTTAAACAGTTTATCACAATCCCGACACACATCCCCACATCCCTCACAGTCAAAAGATTCACATTCTCAGATGATCGAAAGGCTTACTGCTCAACGGGATTTCCCAAAGTGAACGACAGGAAACTCCTGTGCCCACTGTGATGTCAGCGACCAAACCTTGCCAGATCGAGGTTCTGACTAGTCCTCATTGGGTCTGACTGGTGACCAGTCCTTTCCCATTGATGAAGACAAGATATGCTATATACCAGCACCACGGAGTTTGATCGTTATTGGAGGGAAAATGCATCCTCGGTGTCAAAACAACCACCCGAACTCTGTGGTGTCTGGTCAATGGACAGGTTTGCCAAGAGACACATGCACCGGTGTGTGCTTACGTGTCTTCGATGTTGGGAACAGCTTCGTTTGGTGTTTTCCTCCTCGTTGCACCCCCCATCGTTGCTGTCGAGACACGGCTCCACCACCGTGTCCGAGACCTTGGGCGAGGGAATCACGGAGAAGGTCTCCATGATACGATCCGGGTACCTCGGAGGGGCACCGCGAGAGCGGCGGAGAACACGCGCGAGAGCGGCGCGTAGGTAGTTCGCCTCAAGAAGGACTCCTCTTGAATTCACGAAGGGATGCAGGGTGTCACTCTGGTCACCTTTCGCTCACACCCCCACCAATTCCCAGCATCTCTGCTCGTCCGATATCAGTGATGGTCAAAGGTGGCGGCACCTATTGGTCGAACAAGCAGCGTACGGGAGCGAAACATTCCTTCGTAGGTCGAACCGGAGCGAGCCTTCCGGAGCAAGTTTCGGAGCCCACGTCGCGTCCGCGTCGTGCACGGGCGAAGCGGCTAGGACGCGGCGGAGACCGAGGTGCTCTTCTCGCACCTTGGAAATCAAGAGTGTTCCCATGCCGGCGCCAGTGCCACCTCCGAGAGAATGGCACAGCTGGAAGCCTTGCAAGCAGTCACATCCCTCCTCGGTGTTCGAAAAAAACTAGAATCATGGAACTCCAAAATGATCACGAGTGACACGAGCAAAATGCCGGGTTATATCCCAACAAAGCGTATGACTAATGGCAGTGAAAAGGTTCAGCTTCTTTACGGACGACATCCAAGACGGAGTCAATCAACTCGGCTCCCTCAGTGTAGTGCCCCTTCGCCTCAAATGCCCAACGCAAGTCTGGCGAACGAGTTGACTATGCCTGTTTAGTCTTCTGACTGTACACAACGGAAAAGAAACATGTCAACACATCCAATTTCGACCCATCAAAGCCTCTGCAAAGTCGCAGCAACACATAAAAGAAGACGTCAAATACTTCTTGATCATGCCATCCCATGCTGTGTCCTAGGATTTCTTGTGCATAGCATCTCCCTCACACGTTCTTTGTTTTCACTCAGTACCGGTCACCCAGTTGTTTCCAGCACCGGTCTGGCCGAACACAAAGTTGTCTGGGCGGAACAGCTGACCAAAGGGCCCCGCACGAACACTGTCCATGGTGCCTCCGGATCGATGGGTCGGCGACAGCGGCTCAGGACCGATCAGGTCTAAACGGCCCAATTCAGAAGTGTTGTTGACACCGGGTCCTAGGAAGTGTCCTGGACAACCACCGAGTTTCCATTGTATATTGCTTTATTATGTTTGAATAGTTTTATATAGTAGATATATTCTGAATCACGGCAATGGCTTCAAGATTCTTTACAGTCTGCGAAACTGCAAAACCTATATAACAGCTTTCAAACCTCAAGGTTTATATAGGAATCTCATACCACGGTATATGCACAGGAACATGACAAACCCTTTGCTAGAATCGCGCCCATCTGATGCAATGATGCGCTTGTTGGTGTATGCGTGTGAGAGACCCTTTTCCAGCCTGGCTCGAGATCCATCAGCACTGCGCGTGGCACATACCGTCCACCGGTTGCCTCGTTGAAATAGACGTTAATGCGCTCCTCAGTTTGGCCGTCTGCTATCCGCTCACCAGAAAACTGCCCCAACATAGAACCTGTTTTGTTCGGATCCACAGTCGAAGTTTCTGATTGCTCCGTCCCTTGATCGCCGAGCTTCAAGCTGCAAATCAGAGTCGCCGTGATAAGTTCCTCGCACCGAGCGCGAGTTGCGAAACGCACAAGGTCAATGCGTTGCACAAAGTCCCGTGTTTTTTGGACTTGTTTTTTTTCCCTTTTTGTTCCTCCGCACAAGTAATCAATTCGATGCCTATGTGAGACCCACCTCTTGGGACTCCTCAGTTTGATGATTTGATATCCTTCATCCAATCTGTTCTATTATATTGTAAGACAGAGGAGAATCAGAAGACTTATTACATATAGTTGTACAAATCTTCTTAAATCTGCTGGCAAATTGTTGCCATCTCATCCTGTTGGGTCAATGCCATGCTCGTCAGCAATGACCTCCCAGAACTTGGCACCGATCTGGTTGCCTCAGTTCACGAAAGTTACAAAATCACACATGTGCCTTGTCCCCTTGTCATTTCGCAAGTTTAGATCACCCACCCGGGGCGGTCTCTGGACCCGGTAAGCGGTCCGCTTCGACCGGTCAGAAACGAAGCAACCGACCCGAGTCCGAGTCCGACCGATGATCCGACCGAGTGACTCGGAACCGGTTGAAGCTGTTGGCATTGCAGTTTTCCCGTTTGAAACCTGTTTTTCTTTCCGTTCCAAGTTGGCGCCATGAACATATTGAAGATATTTAAAGTCTTCGAACGAATCGGAAAACATCCACATGTCAAAAAGGGTCCCAAAGCTGGTGCATGTTCTGAAATCACTTCTCAGCTATGCTGCCACGTGCCCAAGGATATGGCTACCGTTCCTGGCTATGTTCATTTGGATTCATTTGGTGTATGTGAATGTTTCCCTGGATTCACCTTCATATTTTTTCTGAGTTGCCGCACTGTCCTCCCTGAACGTGCACGAGCTCGCGCATGGCTTCGAGAGAGAAGTCAAAGTTAGGCGCAGACTGCTTCGAGTATGCTTGAGGGCTAAACAGCCACAATGAACCGGACAAGTTCACACATGTTCACGTCCAGACGTGTTTTTGCCATATCTTCAGCTCATCCCTGGCCATTCTCTCGGACAACCAGTCATAACTCTCAACATCCGACTTTCAAGTTCGTGTTGGCACAGAAAGGCCTTTCAAATTGAGAATGACGAGAGCAAAATGAAGCAAGCGCATGGCCCAACATCCAGCCAATGGCCCATCACCTCCGGATCCAGCAAAGTCCGATTTCCCTTCAGTCAGGACTGACCCTTCACACCAAACAGTTCACTGAGGTGTCAGTGGATTCTGTGAATCAAAAAGAAGCCTCGTGCTCTACTCGACTGCTTTCATTTCTGAAGCCTGGTGGTCCACCTACTCCACGTCCACCTACCACGACCCGTCCCGACTCCCCTTCCTCGCTCGTCTTCCTCGCTCCCACCGGTCACCGGTAAAAGGACGGATGCCCAGCGACGCCCTCGGCGATCTTCGTGGGGATGGGGAGCCAGCAGAAATAATCCTGACGGAAGGGAGAAACACGGATCGGATCGATGGAGCTCAGCCTGGTTACACTGAACAGCAATACGACACTGACTAGGACCAAGGCCGCAATACAACAGAATTCAGCCGTATACAGATGTATACAGAACATAAACAGGACAGGTACACAGGAGATGAAGGGAGCAAAAGTGTCTCAACTTACATTCAGCTTGGTGTGATATCTCTGACCCTCGAAACATACCTCAAACACCACACACCTCTCTTGAGGTTTGGATTCGGATCCCAGCTTGGAGGATACCCCTTGTGTTTCTTCCCATCTCAGGTCCTCGAAGTGGAAGTGTTGCGCCATCGAGAGCGGCTTCTTTCGCTCCTGGACGTCAGCAAATCGATGGGCCCTTCCACCGTTGAATCTGATGGCCTCCAACCTAGAAGCGATGGCCACCCTCAGCGCGAAAGGACGATGGACGCTCTTTGGCAAGTTCCGATGTTGCCTGAAACCGATTTGGAATCTGAAGGAAAACGAAGCATGCAGCATGTGTGTAGCCGTTCATTGATACGAGCACGGAAACACGCACAGGAAAAGATAGAGAAATAAAGCTAGTGATGAAACCTGGGAAATCATGGACACTCCGCAGGGTACATATTATGAGGACAGCTTGCTCTTGTGGTTTCTAGGTCATTTCATGTCATTTCTGCGCAAATCAATGGAACAGTGGGTGGCTGGAAACGACCGAAGCGGGGTGAACGGAGTGGGTTTCGCCACCCATCGGCCGACTGGGAAAGGTCCTTGGCGTACTCAGGCCGGCTCAAGGAGATGCGCGCAAAGACCCTGAAAGGATCGGGAATGGTGTCGATCGCGCTCTGGGGCGTGACTTCTCAAATTGCGACAAAGGGTGCAAGACAACTTATCAAGCAGACTTGGTTCTAAGTCAGAAAGCACTCTTTCGAGAAATTGGAGGGGCTCGAATGGCCAAAAGACAGGGAAGAGCAACAGATGGCTACGAATACGAGTTGAATCCCGGTCTGTGGAGAAGGTCCAGGTCTGTCAAGGGCAAGAAAGCATCTTCCCCAAAAACAACGTCCAAACGGACATGTCTTCATCATTCATCCACGAGCTCCCCAGACCCTCACTGCGCACCCCGCGCCTCCGCAGGGCTCCTCGCTTGTTCTCACAAAGCTCGAAGCTGGTTTGCGCACCCACCTCACCAGCTCTCCGCATCACGAAAGACCACGAGAGACCAAGGTAGGGCTGCAGGGCGAGGCTCAGGGGATTCAGGTGAGACCACGGGACGGTCCGGAACATCGCCTAGGATGCAGGAGATGTCCTAGGAGGAAAAACATGTCCTGTGCTGTGATATGGGGAGTTTCTGGCTCGAACCATGTGTGCCCCTTTAAACAAGCGTGCCTTGAAGCACACAGGTCGAAATGGCGACACAGGTCCCAGTACCTTCTTTGTGAGGAGATGTCCTTTTAGAGCACTTTGGATCTTGGCCATCTTCCCCGCAAATTCATCCTCAACACCAAAACAAGCATGTGAACGCGCCAAAAAATCTCATCGCAGCTTGCCGTCTTTCCCTCTCTGCAGCGTCGAAGAGTTCTTTCCCCGCCAGAAGGCCGCCCTTCTCACGGGCGCTCACCACCTCGATCGAACAGTCAACGGAGCGGCGCGCTCGAGCGGTGCGCAACTCTGCCGTTGGATTCGCCCAACACGACGGTGCTTTTGGTACAGTAAGATTGGTAGCGTCCTTGCTCCTAGTAGCGATGCCAGGAGCCCCTAGTAGCGTCCTTGTTCCTAGTAGTAAGGCCAGGAGCCCCTAGTAGGACACGTATAGCATAGTGCCAGGTCACCTATTTGCACGGGAGAAACCGGTTCGAATCTCTGAGAGGGTGTGCCTGTAGCTGTCAGCCCTCCGCTGTAGAGTGTCCGTTCTGGGTGAACTCACGGCGTTGCGTGGGCAGGTTCTTGTTGCCGGAAGCACGACAAACATCCTGGGAGTGAAGCATGCTCTTTGGGACTTGGGAGTACTTGATCAAAATCTTCGCAGTAATAGTTTGATCTTTAGTGAAAGCCTTCTTCAGTTGCAAACAAGTTACGTCATGAAAGAAAAGACAAATGGGTTCTAGGATATCTACAGTAGGTAAATCATCCCCCTACTAAGCAACGTCTCTTGTGCTACATCAGTGGCTGGGAGGGTAGACCTATCCAAGTATGGCGACAAACAAAGGACCGCTACACACCTTTGCAACATATTCTCACTCCACCGAACATGGAAGTGTACACCTCGTTTGTACCATCCACCAAATCCACTCCATTTTCGCGAAGCAACAGCTACGATTCATGGTACCAAATCCCCAAATCCCGAAACCCTTGAGGCACATGGACTTCTTGATCTCACCCGTTCTCAGTTGTCCAGGCCGCTGCGTTCAGCATGATCCGGTTCAGCGCCCGACCTTTTTTTCTCGTCCTTTTTTTCTCGTCCGTCTCTCCCAGGCCAGGTGGATGGATCTGGTCCAACCCCGGGAGGTGATATGAACCAGTGAATCAGCAGTGATATCTTTCCAAAATAGAAACAAAAAACAAACCCCCGCTGATCGGCGAGAAGGGTCTCTCCCAAGCCACCTCTCTTGGTTCTTCTTGCTATTACGGATTGGAGCTCACCACCGCGAGTGACCAAGCGCCAAAAACCAACCGATCTCCCTGAAGAGCTTGGTCGACAGGAGTTGTTGCTCGACAGCCCAGGTGGAAGACACAAGTGCCAATTGGGTCTGGTGGGGTCCGTCTCCGAAGGGAAGATGTTCAGGATCAAAGATGACCTTGACAGATCCTGCTCGGCCCAACATAGGGGGTTCGGAGCGGCCCACGAAAGCCTGTTTGAAAACAAAAGACAGGCCATGTCGGGCTTTGGCAGAAGGGCCGTCCCTGCCAAAATGAACTGCTGTCTTCTTCCCGACAAGACAAACATCGAATGGCCTCGTATGGCCTCATGTTTTGCTTTCGATCGCTGCAGGGACCTGCACCCATCTGGTGATGTACGCCATCGACTCGAACCTCGGAGACCATTTTGGTTCGGGGATAAACTGATCTAAACAAGCTCACCAAGCTATTGTTTGTCACGATTTGGTACTGACCATCTACCATCAATATGTGGACTTAACTGTACGGACTGTACGTACCAAAAGCAACCTAACTGGCTCGTCCTATGATCCACCTGGATTCTTATAGTTCGCCGTAAAACCTCCAACGTTAGACGTCATGGCCTTTCCTTCGAACCGAGCTGCTGTTGAACATGGCCATTTCCAGCAAGAGCACTTGCTCCCAGGCACCGGCCCTGAGCGTCGAACGGGCTGCCGCGACGGCAGCCGCGGGCTCCCGCGGAAAAGACTCCGAGCAGCTGGGATGTTGAACGAGGGCTCAAAACAGCTGCTCAATGTTTGCTAGTTTGGTTAAGGTCGGCTGTTGATCAGGTGGGTTGTTGATTGAGACTGAGATAGAATGTCGCGATTGCTTGGAGATGTCAGCCTCTATTGGTAGATCAGTATAAGGTATGTCAAGCAATATATAATATGACCATCCTCTCAGTTCATGTTCTATGCTGAGGATGACTATAAATGAGCATGAATCTTTTTTGGCAGACTTTCAACTTCCTCTATGTCTGATCAAAGAGCCAGACCCCACCCAGCCAGAACTTCGCAACGGAAGTTCCAGGTTTCTTGCTCATTTACCACCGGATCTAGGATTGCGTTTGAAGATGCACCTGCTATTCTTGCAGATTTGGGAGGTCAGGTCTGTCCACAGACTTCAAGCCGTACATCAAAGCCAGAAGAAACTCATCTGTACTTTGTAGGATTAGAAATGAAGTGATCCAACCCCCTCTATTGCCTCACTCCCTTTCGGGCAGGTCGTCTTTCCAGGCTTATCACTCGAATCCTGTCCTCTTCATCACCATGTTCACAAAATGGCAGCCAGGAGCGCATCAACTGGAGGTGCTTCAAGTTTCGTCTGGTACAGTAGATGAGGGATTGCTGGACTCCTCTTGCTTCATCTGGAGTTTTTTGAGGATACTCGGTCTGTGTACCAAGCTTTTCCAGCCCTGAGAATACACCGAAAATTGAGGTGATCTTGGCTGATAGTTTGGCCAGTGGCTAGAATAGCCCTACAGACCCAAACACCCACACAAGACTGCGTCCACCCCGAAGCTGCCTTTCTGCGGCTTAGCAGCCGCTCACAGCCCGCCACCGCGCTGTGGCAACACACAGCCGACCGCAGGACGCGGGTCGCCGAAAGCGTCGCTGAAAGCGCAGCGGACGAAAGCGCGGCCCGCGCGGCGCGCCAGCGGCCGACGGAGCTCAAGGCGTTCAGCTGGGCGCCGTAGCCATTGAGGTCGGAGGGAGGCCTGGTGGTGCCACCAACTGGGAGACTTGGTGGTGGGCTGTTTGTTGAGGGGTGCAACCAAATTAGGCTAAATCTTGAATAACTTTTAGCTATGTACTAGGTCCACCAGATGGAGAGAAATGGTCCGTAGTCTTTAGAAGGGGATCGACCGAAAATCAGCCAAAGACAGGACAGCACAACCTTCGTGCGTTCGCCTCAATCCTGCTGTTAGTTACCACAAAAGAAAGTATGGATGCATCTTCGTGCCAAGTATGGATGCATCTTCGTGCCACAAGACTGAACTCACTCAACATCAAATCAAGCGGAGGTGTGCTGCGCATCCAAAACATCCATGGTCACGATACATCGTTTTCCTGAGACCGTGCCACAAATGTGGAAAATAGATGAGCATAGAGACAGGTAGGGGAAGTAAGTCTCCGGATCGATTGGACCCTGTTCTTTATAGGTTCTTCGCCTCCTTTTCCCGAAAATCCAAATCCTGTCAGCTGAAGAAGCGACTACCGAGGGTGCTCACCGAGGCGCATCTCCAGCGCCCACCTCGGAGCCGACGGGTGCTTCGGTCCGATCGATGGGTGCGCCAAGCAGGTCACGATTAGGTCACTCTAAATCCCCAAAAGTTTGCTATGGAGAGGAAGCTACTAGGAACAAGTGCCTTACTAGTAGTAACAAGAAGCTATTAGGAACAAGTGCCACGCTAGTAGTAACAGGTGCCTTACTAGTAGTAACAAGAAGCTATTAGTAACTTTGTGACTTTGTGTGCTGATCACTTCAAAAAACACACTTCCGACCCAGGGACACAGACCTGCTGCTCCAGCTCGTTCCGCAGATCGCTCCGTGTGAATACCTTATTTACTATATACAATCACTTGCCAAACACAACATGATCCTCCACACTAACCTAAGACAAACCAACAATCCAAAACAACTCAAAAAGAAACCCCTGCACACTGGATACGTTTCAATACAATTTCTGTTCCTTTCGCACCATCCGCCCTCTCCCCAATTTCCCGCTCCATCTCGCCTCCATTGTTGGCCATCCGCCCAAGCCTTCAGCATCGCGCTTTGCCCCACCGCCTCGGCCGCGGCGCCCTGCTGCGCCTGCTGCGCCCACACCGCCTGCGCCAGCGACCAGGCGCTCGGTGAAGGACCGGACGCAGTGGTGGAGGTCAGCGCGCCGTAGGTGATCAAGGTGCGGCGGAGGCCTCGGTACGGTCGGCCGGGACTGGTGTAGCCAAACAAGAATCTAGACGCGCGGCCTGGTCTCGGAGTTAATTATTCAGAGTCTGGGCATCCCGGAATAAAATATTCAGAGGTTTGTGCTATGAATCCTAATTGTTTGTTTTTAGCTGTTGATATTGCACCGTGAATTGTAAAGTTGGCATAGTGCAAGGAGCCTAGTGCGAACATTCTTGAAGGGATGGAATGATTGCGCGTGGCTGTCTTCAATTTTCAATCCAGGTGCTGAATGGCGCCCTGGAAATCCAGGGGGCGCTAGCAATGTGGCATTGCCGGCGAAGCTTCACAATCTCCGTTTGGGATACAATGGTGATTGCAAATGTTGACATGCTCAACCCCAAGCTGTTCGGCGCCACAAGATACATTCGTAGCCAGCATTGGCTTAGGCTGAAACTGCACCTCCCCTACACGCAGATCGTTTAAATTCTTGGGGCCGTGTGCACATCTTCTCAAAGAGATGTCCAGAAACCTCGCCTAGTAGAAGGCAAACATCGAAAGGACAGCACAAATCAAGCTCAAAACCAAGAGTGGGGCGCTATGAAACTTACATACAAATTTAAATTGCTGTCTACTTTCTGTGTGAAAAACTGTTTGGTTTTTCCTGTTTGGCCAGGTCAAAGGGCATGAACGCATGGCAAATCACACGAGCAATGTGAATCATGTTCTTTCGAAACGTCGGCCTGGTTTCCTTTTCTAACTATTTGGGGACAACTTGAAGGAGTTGCAGCTACCGCCTTTGCACGCACTATGCCATCTTTAGTCTGAATGTATTGGAACTGATGTTAGATCTAATGTTTCAATCTCGCCAACAAGCTGCCCCTTAGAGTTGGCCAACCCAAGTCAATTTTGTCGCGCCGAGTACCCTAACCAGCCTATCGCAGGGTTTGCTTTTGGCAAGGAGGCAAGACAAAAGCGGAAACCAACCTCACAAGACAGACCAATACTGGGCCAGAACCATGCTGGAGCGTTCAGGGGGACACAGGCTAAAACCACCACCAGGTGAGAGACATGTCAGGTGCAGGTGCCACTTGAGCGGCTTTCAAAACCGGCATCTGTCGTAAGATTCTTCTTACGCCACGCGATGCCACGCGCTCCGAAGGTGCAACAGTTCTTGCAAGAAGGGGCTTACGCAACACATACGCCTACGAATTTTAGCACCACACCACAGTCACAGCTTATGCGCGATCTGTTTTCCACGCAGAGTACACACAGCATTCCAGCCAAAATATTAATATATAAATATCTGGGAGAAGGAATTGGCACTTGGCAAGCACTGAGTCCAACAGAATCAATGGGTTGTGTTGGTCTTCGAAAGGGAAACAGGCTTACGCAGTGCTTACGTGGGTTTTCCGAGGTGTATGAAAGTCGTCCATATACAGTGCAAATATGTGTGAATGTGACACGAAATGTATGCTGATACTTGGGCTTGCTTACGCAGTTTACATAACTCCTATCTCCCACAAAAACCTTACGCAACCTTACGCACACCAAGGTTTTGCCTACGCGAACCATTCGTATGACAAGACCACCACTAAACATGAACAGGGAGGTTTATAGAGTTGCTCACTTGTGAACGGCATGAAAGTCTTGTTTCAACTACTCGAACATGCTCAACTCGTGTTTGGGGCGGAAAGGCGGCGGAGCCACCGAGCGCCAGTCGCTCCGAGCTGCCCGCTCGGGCGAAGAAGTGCTCGCAGGTCAGAGCCATGCGCCAGTCGCTCGAGATCACAGAGTTCACCCCAATCACATCCACCTCCACGCCGCCTCCGCTCCGCTCTGTTCCACGGTGGAGAGGAGGGTGGGTGGCACTGTTGAACCTACAGTTCGGTCACAAAATGGATCCCAGTTGCAGCTCTTTGCGGGATGGTCCCAATCTCCAAAAGGCATAGCACGTTGGAATAGCCGTCTTTCCTGAACGAAAGTGTGTAGAAAAGTGTTAACCCCAATAGCCGCACTGATTCCTCGGAAGAAGTGGTCCCGCGGACCACCCTTCAAGTGGCGACAGAAAGACGCCAGCTGCCTGTGCCCCAAGCTCCCAGCAAGGTAGGGGAAGTTGTTCAGACCCTTTGTTCGTCACTAGTAGCTTCTTGTTACTACAGGTGAAACGATTCCCAGTGAAACGATTCCCAAGGAAGCTTCTAGCTGCTAGTAGCTTCTTGTATAGCAAAAACGACAAACCCAACCCGTTTTCAATCCTTTTCAGCTCTCTTTTTTGGTTCACCGTCACCAATGGTCGGAGCAGACTGCCGCTCGGCGTTTCCTGTGTATTTTTTCGTCGGGCCGTTGGCACCTTGGAGGAAGCGATGCAGGCACTGCCAAGCCTCTGGCCATGCAGCCGAGCCAATCAGGCAGTTGGCTGTCACGGTGCTGGGTTCCACATCTGCACGGATCGGAGCTTCGGGTGCATGGTCTGGAGAGACAGGGGTAGGGCGGGGTGGTTGGAGAGAAAGGGGCAGGGGTGTTCTTAGTTTCTCTCTTGCTTGATTGGCTTTTGATCCCCCATCAGTTGGAATGTCATCCTCATCCACATATTGTCCTGGAGAAGAGAATGAATATGGCTGTTCATCTCAGAATCAAAACTCGATATGTTTGTACGTTGTGACAACTTCGCCTCTGCCAAACTACCAGGTGAAGCACGCCGGAACCCTGATGCGACCAGTATCAGCCTACTACCAAACTCCAACTCACAGAAGTGCAAACAAACCTGTTTGTGGAGGAAAAATGAGGAAAATAGTCCTCCCAAAGTCCGTTTTCCCCTTCCACGAGAGTGAGTCAGAGGGTACCACAACAAGTCTGCAGAGGAGTCTGGAACATGATTGGTTTTATATTATGTGTTTTAACCCCCCAATCGGTGTGCAACTTGGATGGCCATTATAGACTGTAAGCTGGATTTGTATCCCCTGACCGTCCACTCAACCAGCCACAAGCTGGTCTCTCTACACTTTCTGAAGCAGCCACATCACCCAAGCCCTTGCAGACCAGCGGCTGGAAGCTAAGACTGAAGGATGGGTGCATATCGCCACACGTCAGGAAATGACAGGAGTGGACTTCCAGGCATTGTTTTGCAGACCAGAAATCGTCGTTTCATATTTGCAGGTTGTCATGTTCGTGCTCGAAAAGGGATCCAAATGGTCCTCCCATCAGATCCAACTTTCCGTCTCCACTTCCCCTTTCCGTCCGCCTCGCCCTTCGAGGAGCCGCCAAAGATTTACTGCTCTTGGCCATAGATCTTCAGCGCTGTAGGCGTTCAGCAAGGCGTTGAAGGAAATGATGTCCTCTCACTCTCAGGAGTCCAGGAGTGCTTCCTAATAGCAAACATTGTTACTACTAGTAAGGCACTTGTTCCTAGTAGCGATGCACTTGTTTCTACTCTCAGGAGTCCAGGAGTGCCCAACTTTGGTTCCCATTTCCTTGGTGACATGGCCTCTCACAGGTCCGTCATTGGTGTTCATAGCCTAACCTTTTCAAAGGTGTTTTTTCCTCTCCCCGGGATGGGTTTCTGCGGTCACGGAAAGTTGGAAACGCTGCGAAGTAAGTCACTCTTTCAGGAGGACGTTCCAGGGAGGACGTTCGGTCTGTGGAACTGGAGCTGGAGCTCGGTAGAAAACCCGCCGGTGCCCGCAAAAGAAAGTCGAAAACCTTAGGCTGGATTGACAAACAGGTTCTGTAGGTGCACGCAATTAGTCTTCTTCAAACAGTTCTTTTCTCTACAAGCCCTTCAGCGCAGAAACGAAGGTAACCACCGCCGCCCCCGCTTTGCATCAAATGGGTTCTCATTAGCGAGACTCGTTGGCATGCTAACAGCCACTCCCAGCCTGTTGGATTGATCCCATCGCTGCCATGCACTCCTTAAAACCACAGGTTCTCGTCGGTCCATTTGTCACGGGGGAGGAGGTGAGTTTGGACCAAGAGACCAAGGGACCAGAGGATGACTGGAGTTTTTCTTGGTGCTTTGCTTTCTTAAGCCTTTTTTGTGCCCGCAGTCTGCAGTTGAAAGGCCCCGAAATCGCTGCAAAGCTGAAGATCTAAAGTTGCAGGAAATTCGTGGAAACTCAGAAATGAGTATAGACCCTGAAGTTCGGGGCCTAAGTCAGATTCCGCCAGCCGCCGGATACTTTAGGCGGCTGATTCCGCCAGCCGCCGGATACTTTAGGTGGCTGAGTCCGCCAGCCGCCGGATACTTTGGTGGCTGATTCCGCCAGCCGCCGGTTACTTTGGTGGCTGGCTGGCTGATTCCGCCGGCTACTTTTTAGTTGGCTGGCTGGCTGATTCCGCCGGGTACTTTGGTGGCTGGCTGGCTG